ATTTCAAGTTAAATCTTAATTTTGAATACAAGTTTAAATGAAAGAATTATTTCAATTCGTACAAATAGCTTACTCAGAAATTATGTAACACTGCAGTGCTTTACTTCGCTAGTGCATTTTCATTAGAACTGATGAATTTAAGCCTTGATTTGCCATTTCTATATTTTTGCCTTCGGGTGAGCGGTGTGATGGCATCCTATTTGACTTGATTACCGCGAATGGCCTTAGGGCATAAAATTGAACTACCTGGTAAAAATTCTATGTAATTGTATGCCAGTATAGAAAAAAACAATGAATCTGATAAGAAATGGCTGTGACTTGTTTTGCAAATGAGGCGTAAAAGGTTGCCAGTGAGGATATTATGTTTGGCATCAATTGTTGGCGAATTTATTGCCTGTGCCGGCAAAACGAAAAAGTAGACAAGATTAATTATGCATTTATATCACTCGATTGCTTAAGCTGCAACAAATATTTTCCTCAGGCAGAAGTCTGCACATTAAACACATTTTAACCCTCTGACTGGCCAGGGCTTTCAGTAAGAAAGCACAAATTTCCTAACACTACTATGAGAACACATTATGTTTTTGATTTTAATGTAAAAACTCTCCTGGTATTTCATACCTGAATTTGTGTACTTTTGATATATTACCTTAACTTCTTTGACATATTTTACTATACACATATATATACACGTTCTTACAAATGTAACAAAAATATTCTTGCCACTTAGAGGATTAAAAAAAAAAAAAAAAAAAAAAAAAAAAAAAAGAGATACAGTCACCTCATCATTATTGAGCAAAACTTAATCAAAATTTCATCATAAGGCTATTATAAATTTTGGAGAAGACTGGATTAGAATTGAAATCATTAACACAATTCGACAAATTTTGCTGAATGTTAAAAGTTTCACGAAAACTGAATTTAAGATTTTTTTAAAAAATTTTTCAGTGAAATTAAAAGAAACTAATAATAATTATTTGTGAAAAATTTATTTATGTTGCTTTTCCTGATGAAAGATAAGTTCTTTAAACTGAAACTAATCCTTAGTTTGGCTGATGTGATTAAGTCCTTGCCCACCAAAAAGCTATTCATTAAAGAGAACAATATTGCTGTTAATACTAAATAAGAGAATTGTTACTTTAATAGAGAATGGTATTTAACACGTTCAGGACCAGCGTCACGTATATGCGACGCAACGATTCTACTACCTGCCCAGCATGGCGAATATGTGACGCAACGATTCTGCTCCTACCAGCCTAGCCTCACGTATACGTAACATTAAAACGGAAAGATTTATTTGAATTTTTAAAAGCCAGCAGTGGTAACTGTTTTCACCTGGGTTGATTTATATGGCATTTGACCTTCATGTAGTGGCATTAGTTTCTGTTTTGTGCTTCTGGTTTTGATAGATTTATTGAAATAAACAAAGTGCGCCTGTGAATTAAAGGAGCACAGGCATTTTTGTTTATTTAATTAGGATTTTTTTTTTCCTATTTATTTTGAAACTTAACATAAGCTTTCTTGGTTAATTAAAAAGTAACATTTACAACATTATTACAGAAGGGGAAAGACTCAGCTTTCTCGATGTGTAATGTGTCTTACTTGCTCACATTTCTCAGGAAAGAGACAGCATATTTTTTTTTCCTTACTTGGTTTAATAGGTCATTATATATAATGTATTTACTTTACATGTAATGCAATTATACATAATGTATATATAGACGTGATCAGTAACGGATATCCCACCAGTGAGGGTCTTTCCTTGATCACTTTCCGGTCTGTTAGAGTCCGGTAGCTGGCCAGGAGAGGGCGCAGCGTTTTTCACTTTTAGCTTGTTATATTTTTCTTACCGCATTGCGGATTTTTGAGATAGATGTAGTGGCAACCAAAAAAAAAACATGAGGAATGTTCTAATGTAAGCATACAATTCTTGTACATAGCTGTAAATAAAGCTTCTGTGTGATAAAATGAAAAGGAATTCCAAGCGTTCCTGTGGATATTCCATCAAGAAAGGTAAGCAAAATTTCACTTATCGATGTTGTTAAATGTAAATAGTAAGAATAAGAAAAAAGATCATAAGTTGCAACATGGTGCCGAAATTACCAGGATAACAGTGATCTTTAGATATATTGTGATTTAAGTATTTATTATTGTTCGATTAGTGAATTGAATATTGATTATTAAGATGGATAAGTTAAAAGCACTTAAAAAGGAAGCGAGGAATGTTAAGAGCATCAGTAACAAGACTGATAGCTAAAATGGAAAAAGGAAATAGAATCGGATAATATTAAATTTGATTTATTAGAAGATGATTTATCCATCTTAAATGAAAATGGAAACGATATACTAATATTGAACTCTGAAATCGAATCTATCCTAACAGATGAAAAAGAGTACGAAACTGAAATACAGGATAGCTTGGAATATAAAAATAAAATTACCTTGTGTAAATCGAAGATCAGTAGAATATTTAGAAATAGAAAATGTGTTAAATTAAATGAGTTGCCATCTAATTCTGCTACTATAGATACGATAGAGAACACAAATACAAATGGCGTTGTACTTCCGAAACTAACCATAAATAAATTTAAAGGCGAAATATGTGAATTTCAAAGTTTTTGGGCTCAATACGAATCTGCTATACATAATAACTCTGCTTTAAAGGATGTAGACAAATTTAATTACCTCACATCTTTACTAACGGACACAGCTTTAATGTCAATAAAGGGATTACCGTTAGTTGCTGAAAATTATGCTAAGGCAATAAATATTCTGAAAGAAAGGTTTGGGAAAGGCTTATTAGATCTATCAAGTCATGTTTGAAGAAAATACTCATGAAGGCTTCACTTAAATTTGAAGAGCTGGAAACAGTTTTAATTGAAATTGAAATTGAGGCGATCTTTTTTTTTTTTTTTTTTTCTTTTTTTTTTTTTTTTTTTTTTTTTTTTTTTTTTTTTTTTTTTCGTGAAGTTGGAGAAACCAGAACCGCTGACGCTAGCTCATTTTCTAGTTGGACGAAGACTGACATCCTTACCATCTGGCAAAATTCTTGAACCTGATTCAACTAAAGAAAATTTAACAAGGCGATATAAATACAGGCTAAGGTTATTAGAAGAGTTTTGGAAAAGAGAATACTTACTTGAAATTAGAAATGTAAAACAAATTCAGAGAAGCAATGCCGTAACAGATCTTTTGAAAGCTCTGTAGTTCTAGTACATGAAGAAAAATTACCAAGATTATTATGTAAGATGGGAGTTGTACAGGAGTGTCATCCAGGACGAGATGGGAAAATAAGAGGCTTGCACTGTCCGTTTAGCTAATGGAACTCATCTTCATGTCGTCCTGTGCAGTTATTATACCCATTAGAAATGACTTGAAATCTTTGAACTGAATACAATGAACTTAAATTGCGAACACTGCATCTATGAACATTTTAAACTTGTAGAACAATTAAAAACATTTAGTGTTTACAATAACTTCAGAATCCAATCCTTTGATGAACCAAGAGTTCATCGAGGGGGAGGATGTTACAGTTTATGTAGCTAGGCCACCGAGAGGGCACAGCATTTTTTACTTTTAGCTTGTTATATTTTCTTACCGCATTGCGGATTTTTGAGATAGATGTAGTGGCAACCAAAAAAACATGAGGAATGTTCTAATGTAAACATACAATTCTTGTACATAGCTGTAAATAAAGCTTCTGTGTGATAAAAATGAAAAGGAATTCCAAGCATTCCTGTGGATATTTATTAAGAAAGGTAAGCAAAATTTCACTTATTGATGTTGTTAAAATATAAATAATAAGAATAAGAAAAAAGATCACAAGTTGCAACACGGTCATTGTGGACACTGTTTTAGATTTAAATAAACAGGAAGTTTTCTAATATAAACCTGATGTCACTCAGGGTTTGAGGATGAAATATTTCTGAGTGTCTTTTGAAGAAGTTTAGGGACATGGTGTTGGGGTTATATTCAGTTTCATTTTGTTAGCCATAGCTAAGAGGCCTTACTTAAGAATTAAAAAAAAATTGTCCAAAATCACCGGACACTCGATCTTTTAGTCTAACTGGAAGACAGTTTCCGAAAATTTACGTTGACAGAAAGGGTAATAAAGGTAGGAGAAGATGCATTGTGTGCGCTAAAACCAAGGAAAAGCGAAAGCAAACAACGTATTTTGAGTGCAAATTATTTCACACACTGCAGAATTTTTCAATTGGAATTTAATTACCTACAGATAATTCTTGTTTAATTGTTTTTTTTTAAATTTCGTATTTGTAATTTTTTTCACGTTTATAGTATTTATTTCTGTGTGTATAATTATGATTTTAGTATTTTGCCTGTTTAATTTATTTCTATTAATACACATTAAAAACAAGTACATTAAATACGCAACTTCAAAAATTGAAGCCATAATATCAAAATGCTTATTTTATATGATTTTTTTTCTTAAAAATTAGGCTGAACTGCTGAAAATGCGTGGGCCGGTGGCGACGATCTATTTCAGCAGGTCCAGTTTCGTGACTGTGCTTCGTTCTCCCTGGGCTGCTCCTTAAGGGGTTAAAATTATGAAGAGTCGGAAAAATTTCATAATAGCAGAAGAGAAAAACAGCATGGAAACAAGATTATAGTGATTGTTTATAAAGAAAGTTTTACAGCAAAATTGCTAAAGGAAACGTTTTTAAAGGCCTTTAGCAATAATAGATGCAGAAAAAATTCCGTCAATAGCAAGAGCTTTCAAAGTAAATTCATGCAGAACAAATCTTTAATAAGGTACATAAAATAACTGTCAAAAGATGATTTTGTATTTATGAAAACAATAAAATTTGGCAGGGAAAGTAAAACAAAAGGAGGGATCAGGGAATCCTCATAAATTCTATTGTTAAAACTAAACTTATCATGCATTATTACCTCAAGGAAAGGAAGAGATGACAACAAAATTTCAGAGAAGGATTGATGGATTAAATTTCAAGTGAAATCTGAATAACAGAATTAAATATAGGTTTTAGCAAGAAATAATTCTCATTCAAAACATTTTTATTGTTCAATATATTTAACAAAAATTTTCTTTTTTGAAGTATTCATGCGCTTTGTTTCACACAATCCAACAATATTCTTCAACTGCAATAAATCATGTTTACTTACAATAACTGTGCAACTCTTCTCTTCATATTTCTTTCGAGGATTACAGTCTATGATGGCATTGCACAATTCTCGAAAAAACACTGGATAAGTGGGCAATTGATAAAATATAATGTGTTGAATCCCTTTTATATGATATCTGGAATAAAAATGAGCCCTCTCTGTATACAACATGAAATGCCTATATCCTTTGAAAAAGACATCTCTTGCTTGGGCAATCTTTCCTTTCTTTGAATATTCACAAATCATCACACTGCTTAATTCAGATTCACGAAAATAATTTCTTAGGCGTACAAAATCAAAGTATGATGGAATGTAGATCATAGTTTGGGCCATTGCAGGATCTTTAAAATCTGATAACACTTTTGTAATAAAAAAGTTGAATCGATCTTCAATTTCACTTTCAGGGGAATCTGTATCAAACCATCTGAAGCACTACAAAATAGATAATAACAAAATCACTCATCTGAAGACAAAAAATAATACTTTTAAAATTAAGTTACTTAAGAACTTTTAAAATTCTTGATTTATAAAAAGATATGATGGAAAACATTTAAAAATGCAGAATTCATAGTTTTCAAAATCAATGCTGAGAGGCACAGCTTAGCGCAGACACTCAAGAAGTGTTAAATTTAAAATAACATTTATTACCTTGATTACAATAAGCTTGATATTGTAACCTGCAGATCAAACTTGATCATTACATAAATAAATAAATAAAAATAAATATATGTAAGAAAAATAAAGGATTACAGGGTTCATAGCCACATTTTAGTTAAAAAAATAAGCACTTATAAGCACTTTTCAAGCACATTTTAAGGAAAAAATAAGCACCTGTCTAATTACATTATACACAACTACATAACCTTAAAAGAAAAATTAGACTTGCAATTTAAAAATTCAGTATTTATTAAGATTCAGTATTAAGGCAATATTTATTAAGATAGAATGAGCATTACCTCAACCATGGAAAATAACTTAACTTTTGTTTTTTTTTTAATTTTAAATGACACAGTTCAATTTACAGAACTTAGGTTTACAATGAGAGAAAAAAAAAACTATGCAGAACTAAACTATATTACAAGACTTAATGATGAAATTTCAGTTCAAAATATAGAAAATAATAATAATAAGCCATATTATTATTGTATTCGCTTGGCACCTAATAAATAAATACAATTTATTTTTCCACTTATATTAATATTTAAATAATTTAACTTAAATCAAAATTCTGAACATTTTCTAAATTTTCCTTCCATAACAGTTTTCCTTTAACATATATTCCAAGCAAAGTAATTTAAGTAAAAAAGAGGAACATTTCTGAAATCAGGAGACGGGAAATTGCTTCATGCAGTCATCCTTTAACAGTAAAAGCTTAACTAACCCGCATACTCGGAAATTGCCGAATATTCCGTATAGTCGAGCGTAAAGGCCCGTTTCCACTGCTGCGTATGCGTTTCTCCAATCAGTGAGCGAATTCACTTTGATCGACATCTGCAATCCGGTCGGTGTGCGGTGACGGATGACATACGGATGGAGTTCAACAATGTTCAACTTCTATCCATATGTCTGCGGATGCGTTGGGGTCACGTGGTAAAAAAAGGAGCAATCAGGTGTAGTCACTAAAAATTAATGGCGGCAGAAGTAGCGATGAACGCTCGCTAATAGGGAAAGAATGTTTTGCTAAAAAATACTTATTTCTGAATTAACATTATAGCGAGAAATATGCGTGCTGAAAAAGACAGCATTCAGCTGAATTTAGTTAAAAAAAATAAGAAAAATAAGATAGCTGCAACTACAGTACTTGTTCGCAGATAAAATCAGGCGTTCAAGAAATTCAGTTCAAGAAAATCAGCGGCAAAAATTATAATTCCAAGTCCATGAAATAGCAAAATTTGTCCTGACAGTTATTTCCTGGTTCTGCATATTCATTTACCTTTAATGAAAATGAATGTCTGACTATATCAAACTGCTATAGCAAATTAGATATGATTAAAAGATTTGTTATTTTTTTCTTTTGAAACAGGTAAAAACTAAAAAGTTAATTATAAATTAAATTTGATAGCCTTTTAAATACTCCACTGTTCATTAAAGAGTATGTTAAATTTGTATTTCCCTTTATAAATATATCTTTTTGGCTAACATATATTTGTAAGCACATGAAATATATTTTTAGCAGCCCGTTTAACTTCAATCGAAACGCCACTTTAAAAGATAATGTTTTTTGTAAAAAATGTACTAGAAGCTGAAGAACAAACTCTGGTGAATTTTTCAGACGATATAGCACACTGAAATAGGACCAAAAAACTTAAGTTTTAAGAATTGATTTACTTGATGATGTATATAAGCCAAAATATGCATGCCACTCCGTGTGATGCTAGCTTAGTGGTAAAGCTGATGGTAATAATGTTTACCTTTTTGGGGGTCGTGAGTTCGAATCCCATACGCTTTTTGCACCCTGTCTGCAACTTTCTTAGCTTTTTGTTCCAATTTGATCTATATTCGTGTTTTATAATTTATTTCTATTATTATATGCATTAAATATATTGTTTTATTTATGCTCTTATTTATTTAAATTTTCCCCCCGCAAAAAAGTTTGAAAATTATATAATACTAATTTAAAGCATACCCTGTACATATATATTTGAATTTAACAAACATTCTCTATTCGTAAAAAGCAAATTTAAAGTTAATTAAATATAGATGCAAATAAATGATTAATTATTGCTGCGAACTAATCTACAATATCATTTAAATTCTGAGAGCATATGTAAATTAAGTGCAAGTATCAAAATCCATGAATAAATATATAATTCCAAAAATTTATTAATCCTAAAAAATTTATAAAAATGCATAAGTGAATAATGGGATAGATTATTAATCCTAAAAAATTTATAAAAATCCAAAAAATAAAAAATGAATAATAGGATAGATTTAATCCTAAATTAAAAATGCAAATAAATGAATAATAGGATAAATAAATTTTTGGAATTATATATTTATTCATGGATTTTGATACTTGCACTTGATTTACATATGCTCTCAGAATTTAAATGATATTGTATATTAGTTCGCAGCAATAATTAATCCTTTATTTGTTTGCATTAAATTTCATTTAAATTTAATTAACTTTTAATTTGCTTTTTACGAATAGAAAATGTTTGTTAAATTCAAATTTCATTCCTTGCAGCAATGGCGCAAGAGAATTATTTAAATTTAATTTATTTTGAAACCCTGCAGATATATATATATATTTTTCGTTTCACTTTTATGTGAATGTATATACATGTGCTCAGACTTTGGGATGTTTACGACTCTAAACTTTCATTCCAATTAACATGAGACAGTATTAATGCCCTAAACATTTTTTTAACAAAAAATTACTATAATAATTGCTTTTAAATTCAGTCCTCTCCAGCAGAAGCGCAGGAATTAATTAATTAAATATTTCCATTTTCTTTACCTAATGTGTGTATATATAAAAGAGAAAATCTTATTTTTATAACTTCTATAAAAAGAGATATGAATTAAAAATGTTTAAATTAAAAATAATATTTTATGGATTATGCATAAAATATAACTGCCCATAGTGCATTTTAAAACAAACGAGATTTCTAATAAATTATCCAGCTATGACCCTGAAGTCAGCGGTATACAAGCATAGCAAATTTTGCTTAAATATTGTGAACCTTTCTTTACAGTTGCTCTGTACTTTTAAAGTACCAACTATTTTTTAATCCCTTTAACTTTTTTATTTTATTTATTTATTTGTTTACTTTTTCACTAACAGTACATTTTAGTTTTAATAATATATATATTATTTCATAATATTTAAGGCTTCTAGAAACACAAAATTTTTTTTTTTTTAAATTTACTTCAGCTTCTATGGAATTAGTGATGTTCATAATATGCATTATAACCTTACTTATCTAAAAATTGCTAGCGTACTTTACTTTCGCAGTTCATAAGCAGAAATAAAAATTTCCAATAACATGGAATTTAGTAAACAAAACTTTTCTGCGTTTTACGTCAGGATCCATATCAAATCCAAACAAACAATACTCGCTTAAGCGGGAAAAAATTCAGATGTTCAGCGTCGTAACTCGCGAACTGCTTGTTGGGGCGCCAAAATATTACAGTGACACCTAGCGGCGGAAAATGAAAATATTTTACGGATACGCAGCAGTGGAAACGTTTGTACGGATGCCGTAGGCGTGTCTTCAATTGACGCAACGCGTTCGTACGCAGTAGTGGAAACGAGCCTTAACTGGAAAAAGAGGAGGCGGGGGAGATTGTAGCCTTCTTTAGATTTCTCGGCTAAATAAATGATTTTGACATTTCGATATGTGCATCATATAAAAATAGACCAACAGAACTGAGAAATATTCTGCTTAGAAAGAACAGTAAAACTCTTTTAAGTGTGCATAAATAAATCTCAGACTGAACATCAAAATTAATTATCTCTGCAAAATAAATACCACAAACGTTATTGCACAATACGTGCGGCGTAATTCTTCCATACATGATATTACGCAATCGGAATCAACAGCTGCCGGTATTCGGAGAATAAAATAGGAAAAGAAAAATAAAGGAAAAGAAAGAAACTTACTAATCCGGGGTGTTTTTGATTCTAATTTTTGAACAGACCCTTAAATTTCCAAAATAGAATCATTCTTCGCTTGGGTTGGGTAGACCGCAAAACTTTTAGTCCTATTCAATCCAGATTGGACAGTGACAAAAAAAAAAAAAAAAAAAAAAAAAAAAAAGTCCGCTGCTTCAATATTACAGATTTTGCGGAGAAAGGGAAGAACCTCCCAACCTCCGTACTGTATAATGTATTGGCAAAAAAAAAAGAAATTATTCTGACTATTCGATTACTTTCCTTTTATTTAAGCCATTCCGAATATTATTCCTTAGAAAGCTAATCTGTGTAAAAATAAACCCATTTTTGGAAGTTTATCTACATTTCAGCAGCTACTGCAACTATATTATTATAAATATTCATACATATGCTCATAATATAAGCATAACGATCATAATAAACACGAATATGAACTGACCACGCAGAACGAGAATGCAAATTATTAAAATCTTGATATAAATTCAAACGTGTGTAGTATTTGGGTGGGAGGAAAAAGAATACTGAATGTACCGGAATTTTCTACGGTTTTCTCAATTCTTTGACCAATAGAACGACATGCACCTGTCTGTACTCTCGCACGCACCATAGGTTACGTTACTGCAGAGATAGGGGAAAAAGCTATTTCCGGGAGTATGATTCACCATCTGACATTTCATATAAGGAAGAAAAGCTGTTTATTTAATTTCGGGGGGGGGGGATGCGCGTTCATTAAAAAAATCACTAAAAGCAAAAAATAAGCGCTAAAAACAAAAATATAAGGACTTTAAAGAAAAAGTAAGCACCTATAAGGGCCTTTATATTTTATTTTCAAATATAAGGACTTATAAGCACTTGTAAGGACTGCTACGAACCCTGGAATATGTAAAAGATTGAATTAGCATCGTAAATTTCTCTTCTCAATTCTAAAAATAGCAACCTCTCTACACTGCGTCATTTCTATATTAATTCATGTCATACGACTCTTACATAATTCTGGTGATATAAATGGAACTGAAACTCAAGCAGCCAATAGTAATTTTACAGCAATATTAACTATTCAATCAAAATGCATTGAGAACCAAAATTAACTCAATTTGAATTAAGATATCACCCTGAACATAACGCACTTGCTTTCAAAGCTTAAGCCTACATGGACTGCTGTCTGTTTGCTCCTTCTATCTTACTGCAAATTTATCTAAAATGAAAACCTTTTGGAATCAGTGTAATTAATGTGCCAACTTGTGGCCGCACATGTTTTCTGAAATAAAAAATGAAGATTTAATCTTTTTTACTTTGTCATAAATAAGAAGATTCTAAATAATATGATAAAAAACCTTGTGTATAGGATATGCAAGGCAGAGAAATATGTGAGTAAATATGGCAATTATGCATACCTGTACAGATTAAGAGAACATGGTACTAGAATAACAGATGTAAAAAATATATCTATATGCAATCTCATAAAAGCAATCTAAACATTATATAATTAAAATGTTAAGGTGAAGCAAATTTAGATTAGATTTCTTTTATCGAACAGCATATGCAAAACAATTTTTTGTAAAAAAATAAATGAGCCAATTTTTTCAAACAGACTATATTGTAGAGTTGAACATATTTCATTTAATCCTTATACAGTCAAAAGTTGTTAATCCGGACTCGTCGGGACTTCGGCGATTCCGGATTATCGATTTTTCCAGATTATAGATCATCAGTTTAAATCTCGTAAGATGGCATGCAGAAATTCTAAAATTAAAAATATGAAACCGTAATTTATGAAAAAAGAACAATTATGATCTAAAGGGTATCAAAATTTACAAAAAAAAAAAAAAAAAAAAGCTTAATATTATTTGTTTACTTTATTAAACATTTTTTTCAATGTAAGTTGTTTAAGTTTTTTTCGTTTTATGTGATAATACATTTCTCTTTAATTCTATAAACAGACATAATTTCTTGTTCAGTTACAAAGTTCCACTGTTCAAGTCCCGTAATTGCTGTGCCGAGAATACCGACTAACTTGCCAATCGAAATTTTTTCGTTTTCACTAACCTCCCTGTCACCTTCTTCATGTCTTTATCCATTTTTTTGCAGCAATTCCACTTTTTATTTGATGGATATCTTTTATAAAATTGCTCTTACAGTCTGCAAAAAATAATAAGCCGGATCCAATTCGAAGATTAAGGAACAATGCAATCATCAACATTAACTGAAATAGATAATTAGATAATTTTAGCTTATACCGTCCGTTATACATTAAACGTGCACGCGAAAACATATTCTGCGCTTGCGCACACGCATATGCGCAGTCGTAAAGGTCTTACGTGCACGCATAAACGCCTATGCGCATGTGTCAACGCGGCGCATGCGCAGAAAGTTTTTAGCTTTGAGGTCCGGATTATGGGTGTCCGAATTAACGACTTTTGACTGTACATATATATGAATTCACGAAAAGATGCCAGAATTACGGCAAAAACCCATTTGCACATATAATAGCTAACAATTGCCTGTTAGTTACCTTTAATCTTAGATCTTATAATATCACCATCTTACAGCACTGTCCTTGTTTTCAAAACAAGCACAGTACAAAGTCTTTAATCTGGACGTCCATAATCCGTAATGATTTTTAATCCGGACCTCCAAGCTACAAACTTTATCCGCATGCGTAAATGTATAATGCGTTTATGCATGTGCATAATATTAAACGTTTATCACATATGTGCATAAATATTAAGCATTTAATGTATAACAGAAGTTTAATGTACAACAGACGTTTAATGTATAACAGATGGTATAAGAAAAGCTAAAATTATCTAAGGCACTTCAGTTAAAGAGCCAGATTGCGCTGTTCCTTAATCTATTTGGATACGGTTTATTATTTTTTGCAGACTGTGAGAGCAATTTTATAAAAAGTAAGCTTGAACTTTCGATTATGTCAAAAAGAGTTTCAAATTCTGGAGCTGCCAAGGGATCTACAAGCAAAAGCATGTTTTCGATGTTCATCAAAACAAAGTGGAATTGCTGCAAAAATGGATAAAGGCTATCCGTCTCAAAATTATGCGATGGAGGAAACAAAATTGTCAACTGCATATGAAATAAGCAAAAAGAAGAGGAACTTTGAATATTGGTGGATTCCGACACCCCACTTGCAATGACTAACAGAAAAGGGTTCGTTATGCTAAAGTGACGATTATGAAACAAAGTGATGAAATGTTAATAAAATAAACAAAAAATATTAAGTTTTTTTTTGTAAATTTTGATACCCTTTAGATCATAATTGCTCTTTATTTCATAAATTATGGTTTCATATTTTTAATTGTATAATTTCTGCATGCCATCTTACCAGATTTAAATTGATGATCTATAATCTGGAAAAACCCCTAATCCGGAATCATCAAAGTCCTGACGAGTCAGGGTTACAAACTTTGCCCTGTACTGCCAACAAAATTGTGTTATTCTGAACCTTTATTGTAATAACTAACCTAAGAAATATTAGAAAGTTTAGAAAATTTATACCATCATGCTGTCTTATAACAAAATATCCCAATTTGCAAACAATGATTCTTTCTTAGAAAAGGTTTTAATTTGTGAATCTGCAATTGTTTTTATGCATCAAGAGATAATTCAATCAGTTTCTATGGTTTAAAACAGATTGTTAACAATTCTATAAATCTTAGTCAAATAGCAAACTCATTATTTTTAGCAGATCAAATCAATTGAGAAAGAAAATTTATCAGTCATAGCTGTGAAGTCAAAGACTTCACAGCTTATTTGGTGTGCTAAGTCTGGCTTAAGAAAAAAATAGTAAACAGTTTCATTATCGATAATGTTAAAAGATTTTGAGAAAATTGTTTGCTAAAAACCTAGTTAAAATAAATTAAACTACTTCAACAGAAAGAATTTTTTGGCAATACATAAGTATTGCCACAAGATTGCTGCACTAAAAAAAATATCACATTTCCATTTTATTTATAATGTATTCATATATTTATGAACATAAAATACATACCATTTTCATAGGGACCAAAATATTTCCAATTACAGGACTTTTGACTTCAGATACTGAGCTTAAATATCCACGATAATTAAAGCACAAATTTTGAAAAATTAAAGCTTCAAACCACATATGTTCAACTGAACTTAAGAGTATTGTCTGACGATAAAATTTAGCCATTCCACTTAAGGCATACAATCGTACACGGAAAAAATTGCACCCATGAGATTCTTTTGGCAAAATATTCACATGCTTTAATATGTGGATTAGGTGAAGTGGATTCTGAAGGAGAAGTACATCAGCTCTATCTATGATTAATATTTCAATGGATGACAAAAAATCATAATCTCTTTCTTTGTCACCTTCAGCCCCTACAATCTGACGTAATCCAAGTGGTGAGGCTATAATTAAATCTGAAGAATAAAATTCTGAATATAATGTTATACTTTTATTTTTTATTCTCAGACCAATTTTAAAATCCTCATCAATATTCCCCTCAAATGTCTGTTCAAAATCTGGTGGTTTTTGTTTAATTCTCTGAGTTGGTGGTGGTGGTCCATATTCATTTTCAAAGCGTTTTTTATTCATCACAACACATTCTGGAAGCAAACGAGACAATAAAGACACTATGCAATAGCAATCATGTCGAAATGGAACTAATATAAGCACAGATGTCCGAGTGAATCCTTGATCTCTATACTCTTCCTCTGAATTTTTTGATAACTTAGAGTTGTGATGAATTATTTTTGCTCGTGATTTCAGAATATGATTTAAGGCATGTAATGAATACAACATCCTTAAATTTTTACTTTTCTCATGGGTTTGTTTCATATACATGATGTCTGTATAACCTGATATCAAATTAAGAAGTCCTAATTCATAATTACTGAAGCACTTTATAAAAGTTCTCAGAGTTTCAACTAAATTTTTTTTCCAATGAAAGTCAAACAATTCATACTTTTTTGCACATGGTTCTTTGATCTCTAAATTTTGTATCAATGGTTTTGAAAAAATAAATTTCCCAATTTCAGGAAATTCATATTTCTTGTATTCATGCTCACATTTTTGACTTGCAAGTTCTTCAGGTAATTCCTGCTCAAAGTGCTTTGTATATGGATCTGATTTGGAGGGTTCCTCTTCATCCTATAAAGTATACCTAGTTATATACAGTCTTACATACACAGTTTACCATAGAAGCACACAAAACAAAATATTAAAAACACAAAAACAAAATATTAAAAAAGCATAGATAAAATTTTCATGGTGACCAGTTCCTGTAAGTAACCACTACTGTAAGTAATCATTATATCTTATAGCAAATAAAATGCAGATACTGAACATCATTAAAAAAAATTGATCATAACCACAGACCAAAATCACCTGTTATAATTATCTTTCCAGACCCAGGGAAGTTTCACTCTATACTCACAAATATATACAGTGAAACCTTTTATAACCATTTAACTTTATTTAGATAGTTGCCTTACAGAATATGACTATAATGATCTGTTATTTAACTACATTTTCAGAAATAAAAATCACTTTTACTGGTGGTCACTGTGAGAAGTTTCATTATTTACATTAAAATAATTTCGTATCTCACACAATATTAAATAGTATGTATGACTTTTATTATATGTGGTTGTCAGTTTACCATAGCAGTGAATGAACAGGTTTATCCCATAGATATTTGTGCAATACTGTGTAATTTGGTAGACCTCTAAGAAATTAAACTAACTCGTTAGATTGGCAAATATCAATAAATGCCTTTGTTTTAAATTGAAAACGAGTTGTTTTCATGACTGCCACTGAACATCACTATTCTATAACCATAGACAAATATGTGTTACAGCAAATATGTTGACAATAGACTGCATTGATAATCAGTGATGGATTATGAAACATCTAATAGAGCAGGGCTTCTTAAACTTTTTTCAATTGTGTGTGGTTTTATTTATTTTATCATTAAGATTTTTTCGTGCCCCAAATATTAAGTATAAAATGAAAATATAAAAATAAATATCCTCCAAATAATTTATTTCTTTGGTAAACAATATACATATAAAATGATGTAGCTTTAGGGTTTAATTCAAGCAAACAAAAATTAAAGAAAATTCTAATGAGATAGTGCTTGTTTTCTGCTGCACAACAAACTAAATGCTGATGCAATATTTGACACTACTGGACATAAAGCATCTTCAGTATGTTTCAACGTTTAACGACATTTGGTTTTAATTAGCATTTAAAGCTGAAAAAGCAGTTTCATAAAAATATGTGGTGCTGAACAAGAGAACATTTAATGCCATTTCAGAAATAGTGAGAAGTCTAGTTCTAACTCCAATTCAGAATTCATCAAGGACTTTCGTGAAAACTCCTGTTTTAAGTCTGAATTGCTAGATAGATTTAGAAGTTCATTTTGCACTTTTATATAACAGGTAATTAATTTCATTAATATCAGTTCATGCAATGTCTTTAAAAGTCTAATCTCATTAATGTCAATTAATGCAGTTTCTATAAAGTCTTTTGAATGCAGATTCTTTAAATTCAACAATCGAATTGAATTTTCGCGACACCAAAATTTCGATTTGCGACCCGTCGCAACCCACAGTTTAAAATACTCTATTTTATGATAGAATAGCATAAAATATAGTTTATTGAAAGTTTTAAATTTCCTAGAATCTCTTTATTAAACTATTCAGAGCTATGAAGAAAAATACTAATTTTTTGTGTACTAAAATCTGCTTTGTTAGGCTCATCACAGTTTCTACTATCACAAATAAATATTTCTTATTTTCTATTTTTCTTTCAACAATATATCGTAAAATTACTGTATTGTTTATAAAAATAATTTACATGGTCTTAGATGTTACACAAGCAAAAAAACTAGATGCTACTTAGAGTATGAGAATAGTTCTTAGTTTATGCAAGAGGATGGGAATAGGTTATAGGCAAAAAGCACATAAAATTTTTTTTAAAGGTCTTGAATATGCGCAGTTTTTTTAAATTAATGCAGAAACTTAGTTACTATCCATAGATACCACTATATTAGAACATATATTGCTGCTGATTATATATTGTTTCTTAAAGGCAAAATGTCATTTAGAGAACTTAATAATTGTAATCTAGAAGATTTCATATCAACAGTAAATGCCAGTATAATAACCACGCACACTTTTCATGAAAATCACTATTATTGAATGTTATTACCTTTCTCAAAAGAAAATTAGCACTTTAGGGACATTCAAATTAAAACAAATGCATGAATTTAGATTAAAAAGCCTATTGCATGCGATATTTTAAAAATATTCTATTGTCAGGAGCAAAATTTTGCATTTCAAAACTTTTTGTGTTTAGAATATTAACTGCATGATTCTGATTTTAAAAATTTGTGAATTAAATACTTTTTAAGCAATCAACAGTTTTTATATTTTTAGTTTCATATTCTTCTTTGCTTCAGCAAAGAATTTAATTCCTGATTAGAGCAATTATCTAAAATTATGATATCATATGCATCGAAGAAACCATTACAGATTACAATCTGCAAATTGGGTTGTAAGATAATGGCAATTAACAAGTGAACAAAGTTCTTATCATAATACTCATGAGCAAATCAGTGTTAAATGCTGTCAGTCTAGCAAAGATGCAACAAATCATGCTAAGTAAATAGTGAATACTTTGCTGAGAAGAGAAGTGACATTTTCCTAATGTTAGTTATTGATAGTTTGTTTCTGGAATGTAAGTTTTGGGCTAGTTTCCATCTGCAAGCAATTATGCAGAAATCAAGTATAATTGTGTGTATCATAGCAAAATCAAGTTAAATTTGATATCCCACCTGTATATGCCAGCAGTTTTGAACCATCTACTTATGGTAATAATTCAATCATTTTACATTTGAACGAATATGTTCACCTTTTCAACTCTTATGTTTATTATGAATGCATCCGCATATAGAGAAATCACATTTAAAAGAATCACTCTCAGCAGGAATATGCAAAGTGTATTTCTGGAGGTTGGCAAGCAGTAAAGAGCAGGGAATGAAATTTTCTAGTACATAATACAATGCTTAAATATTTATTTATTATCCAGGTTATTTTGACATTTTAAATATGTACATAGCAAAAATATTACTTAAAAAAATCTTTGGATGGATATTTTGATGATATTTCTTTTACACCATATATACTGATTTTATATTATGTATCAGTTTATATGATATCATATCATTGATAAATAATATAAAATGATGTTGATATGATCACACATATGTGGGGGAAAAACATCTTAAATCACTGTTCATATACATGAATATTGCATTCTGAAACTGTCAGGCAATATTGTGATAAATGCTAAAATAAATAAATAAAATTTTGAGCAGTAAAAGTTTTTGCTGCTAAAGATATTCAAAATAGCATCAAAATACCTTTAAAATACTGTTTATTTCCAATCTATTAGTCATAATACTTTACTAGACCTCTTGCACCACATGTGTTTTGTTACATCTTTCGATTTACTAATAACCATAATTAACATAGCATTTTCTGCATATATTATCATTGTTATGTTATCCATTCTGTTGTTTTTAAGCAATTTTATTCTTAAAATACTTTATAATATATAAATTAAAATATAATAAAATGAATAAAAAATTACAATGCCTTTCTAATTAAAATGTAATAAATGACAATGAAGATTTTTTCCCTTCATATAATAAGAATATTGTCTAACACAAAAATTACATCACAAAAAATGGCTGTAATGACTATTTTTGTAAAATAGTTCAAAAATTGCATATTAAAAACCCATACATTTTATTATTTAATATTATTCTATACAATAATGTGTTATTAAAAGCCAATATGATAAACACACATGCATGCAGAAACTTCAACAAGAATGAGACAGGTACAGTATTGCCAAATTTGATAACATAATACAGTCAAAAGTCGTTAATTCGGACACCCATAATCCAGAATGATCTATAATCCAGACCTCAAAGCTACAAACTTTCTGCGCATTGCGGTCGAATATGCTGCGACGCGGCATATTCGTAGCCGTAATACCTTTACGGCTGCGAATATGCGTGTGCGCGTGCGCAAAATACGTTTACAAATGCGCGTCTAATGTATAATGGATGGTATAAGCTAAGCTAAAATTATCTAATTCAGTTAATGTTGCAGATTGCGTTGTTCCTTAATCTTCGAATTGGATTCGGCTTATTATTTTTTGCAGACTGTTAGAGCAATTTTATAAAAGTAAGCTTGAACTTTTGATTATGTCAAATAGAATTTCTGATATATACTATTTACTAATATGTAAAGGATCTACAAAGCGAAAGTATGTTTCGAAGTCCATTAAACAAAAAGTGGAATTGCTGCAAAAAATGGATAAAGGCATATCCTTTGTTTATCTAAACTTTGTTTATCTTTAACGCCACAGCGCGCAATGAATTGGAAGTTGATCTGTCAGCACTATCCTTATCTTCAGGGCAGATGTTTTTATTTTATTTGGCTTATAATTCCTTACTAAATGTAGTATTTCATCTCGAAGTACTCCGTCTTTGATATGATTTAAATCAAATTCCTCATCACTATAATTCGCTTACGATAGTGAAGAAAGTGACACAGAGTTTATTGAAAACAAAAAAATTTCGATTGACAAATTAGTCGGTATTCTCGGTGCAGTAATTATAGAACTTGTTTAGCGGAACTTTGTAACTGAAGAAGAAATTATGTCTGTTTATAGAATTAAAGAGAAAGTATTATCACATAAAACGAAGCAACTTAAACGACTTACATTGAAAGAAATGTTTAATAAAGTAAACAAATAAATATTAAGCTTTTTTTGTAAATTTTTATACCCTTTAGATCATAATTGTTCTTTATTTCATAAATTACGGTTTCATATTTTTAATTTTATAATTTCTGCATACTGTCTTACCAGATTTAAACTGATGATCTATAATCCGGAATCGCCAAAGTCCTGACGAGTCTGGATTAATGACTTTTGACTGTACTGTATTAAGCAACTACCTTCAAAGTACTGTCCATATACTGTCATTTATATCTGCCAACACATAACTGTTCAAAATATTCAAAATAATTCTGGAATTCTTTGTTGGCAGCCTGTTTCACAACATCCACTGA